CCATCCTTAGGACCCGTTCACACCTGTTTCTGTGTGTTCACTTCAATGGCCCGCCTCCTGCCCCACTAAAAAGGGAGCCGGCCACAATGCAAGGCAGTGCATTGTGGCCGGCTCCCTTTTTAGTGGGGCAGGAGGGGGCGCAATGCGAGGCAGTGTGTTGTGGCCATAATCGGCCGGAACGCACTGCAACTGGTGTGAACGGGCACTTAGTTGCTCTCCTCCCCTATGGGCGCTGCCCTGTGTTCCCTCTGAGGACTGGTTCACACCCTAAAGAGTGCGTTTCAGAGCGTTCCACTGACGGCCGGTTCCCCGTGTTCAGGGGTGGGAGGGGGCGTGGTGGTGCATTGAAGTCAATGGCACTGTAGCCGAGCCCACCGCCGGCAGTGCGATCTCCGGCACCCAAACGCGTTGCACTGCATGCATGCACTATTTTTGCAGATCGCACTGGACCGGAACGCAGGCACTGATGTGCCACACACTCTGGTGCCGGCCATTGTACCGTGGGCGGGGTGGGGCGTGGCTGCGGCACCATGGACTTCAATGCACTGCCACGCCCTTCTCGCAGGAAGCCAGCAGTGATACAATGCGCTCCAGCAGCTGACCACTCTGGAACACACTGTTTATGTTGTGAACCTGGCCCTGACGCAGCGCAGCGTCCAGCGGGGAGGAGAGAAACTGACAGGAGGCCAAGTGGAAGAGAGCGCTGTCAGCCGTGTCACCGGGGACCGAGCTCTCTTCCTCCATTCCACCCGCTCAGCCTCCTGTGACAGCCAGCAGTCAGGATGGAGAGTCCGAGCTGATCGCTGACTGCTTGTAAATAATTGAGGACATGTTACACCTATGTCCTATATATAGCACATCTGCACGGATTACGCTAGTTTGCAGCTATTACTATACGTATTGCTATAGCCGCAAACGTGCGGAATCCGACCCTTGGACAATTTTGCGGGACACAGTTTTCTACTGTGCGGTCCCTGCAATAGTCCGAACAATGCGCATTAAAATGCATTGTTTGTTATGCTTAGAACGGTTCCGTCCGACAACCTCTCCTGTGTGAATGGAGCCTTATTCTACATTGCTGAGATTTGTAGTACTCTATAGCTGATGGTATTCTGCATTACTGTATAATGCATTGCTGGGATTTGCAGTCCTCTATAGCTGGTGGCATTATTCTGCATTGCTGGGATTTGCAGTCCTCTATAGCTGGTGGCATTATTCTGCATTGCTGGGATTTGCAGTCCTCTATAGCTGGTGGCATTATTCTGCATTGCTGGGATTTGCAGTCCTCTATAGCTGGTGGCATTATTCTGCATTGCTGGGATTTGCAGTCCTCTATAGCTGGTGGCATTATTCTGCATTGCTGGGATTTGCAGTCCTCTATAGCTGGTGGCATTATTCTGCATTGCTGGGATTTGCAGTCCTCTATAGCTGGTGGCATTATTCTGCATTGCTGGGATTTGCAGTCCTCTATAGCTGGTGGCATTATTCTGCATTGCTGGGATTTGCAGTCCTCTATAGCTGGTGGCATTATTCTGCATTGCTGGGATTTGCAGTCCTCTATAGCTGGTGGCATTATTCTGCATTGCTGGGATTTGCAGTCCTCTATAGCTGGTGGCATTATTCTGCATTGCTGGGATTTGCAGTCCTCTATAGCTGGTGGCATTATTCTGCATTGCTGGGATTTGCAGTCCTCTATAGCTGGTGGCATTATTCTGCATTGCTGGGATTTGCAGTCCTCTATAGCTGGTGGCATTATTCTGCATTGCTGGGATTTGCAGTCCTCTATAGCTGGTGGCATTATTCTGCATTGCTGGGATTTGCAGTCCTCTATAGCTGGTGGCATTATTCTGCATTGCTGGGATTTGCAGTCCTCTATAGCTGGTGGCATTATTCTGCATTGCTGGGATTTGCAGTCCTCTATAGCTGGTGGCATTATTCTGCATTGCTGGGATTTGCAGTCCTCTATAGCTGGTGGCATTATTCTGCATTGCTGGGATTTGCAGTCCTCTATAGCTGGTGGCATTATTCTGCATTGCTGGGATTTGCAGTCCTCTATAGCTGGTGGCATTATTCTGCATTGCTGGGATTTGCAGTCCTCTATAGCTGGTGGCATTATTCTGCATTGCTGGGATTTGCAGTCCTCTATAGCTGGTGGCATTATTCTGCATTGCTGGGATTTGCAGTCCTCTATAGCTGGTGGCATTATTCTGCATTGCTGGGATTTGCAGTCCTCTATAGCTGGTGGCATTATTCTGCATTGCTGGGATTTGCAGTCCTCTATAGCTGGTGGCATTATTCTGCATTGCTGGGATTTGCAGTCCTCTATAGCTGGTGGCATTATTCTGCATTGCTGGGATTTGCAGTCCTCTATAGCTGGTGGCATTATTCTGCATTGCTGGGATTTGCAGTCCTCTATAGCTGGTGGCATTATTCTGCATTGCTGGGATTTGCAGTCCTCTATAGCTGGTGGCATTATTCTGCATTGCTGGGATTTGCAGTCCTCTATAGCTGGTGGCATTATTCTGCATTGCTGGGATTTGCAGTCCTCTATAGCTGGTGGCATTATTCTGCATTGCTGGGATTTGCAGTCCTCTATAGCTGGTGGCATTATTCTGCATTGCTGGGATTTGCAGTCCTCTATAGCTGGTGGCATTATTCTGCATTGCTGGGATTTGCAGTCCTCTATAGCTGGTGGCATTATTCTGCATTGCTGGGATTTGCAGTCCTCTATAGCTGGTGGCATTATTCTGCATTGCTGGGATTTGCAGTCCTCTATAGCTGGTGGCATTATTCTGCATTGCTGGGATTTGCAGTCCTCTATAGCTGGTGGCATTATTCTGCATTGCTGGGATTTGCAGTCCTCTATAGCTGGTGGCATTATTCTGCATTGCTGGGATTTGCAGTCCTCTATAGCTGGTGGTATTCTGCATTGCTGTATAATGTATTGCCGGGATTTGTAGTCCTCTATAGCCGGTGCCATTTTGCATATTGCCATATAATGCATTGCTAAGATTTGTAGCCCTGTACAGCTTGGACTACCACGGGTGCAGAAGTTGCAGCTGTGACTGGGCCCCGGTGCACCCCACTGTCCTAAAATCATTAGTCTGTATTGTTTTAGAAAAACTGTCACATGACACTAAAACAAACAAAAAAAACCTTGGGGGGGGTGTCTATGCTAGAGAATTGACTCTGCATGGAGTAGTCACATTTTCTAGCACGTTCAAAGAATAATTTTAAGTTGGTGACAGGTTCTCTTCAACTTGCCTAGTAGACCTGGTCCAGGTGACGGGAAAAGGCCGATATTGGGTTTTCTCCAGCGTTCGAGTGTCTTGTGCTGTGACGGTGACAACGTTGACTCTCCTCACACTGGCACACTACGTACATAATGTCAGGACAGGTCGACTGTCCTTACTGAAAGGCGAAAGGCCAACTGATCGCCTCAGAGCACACGTCACCAAGACAACGGCTGGGGGGCGTGCCCCTCGCAGGATTCCGCTCCGCCTCTACCTTTTCTTCAGGTATGGCTTTTTTCCTCGCTCCGCCCCCCTCTGGGCGTTCCGCCGACGTACTTTCTTTTGCACGATCGTTGGGATAGTACGCACGGCGTGATGACGTATCAGACGGCGAGTCCGTACTGTCCGCTTCGTCATCGCTGTGTGTCGGAGTGTCCGGACTGCTGTGACAGGAGCCGTGGAGGCAGGACGCCAGGCCGGGAACATGCTGTGGTTCCAGGGCTCCATCCCGGAGGCCATAGCCTCGGCCAAGGAGAAGCGCTCTGTCTTCGTCGTCTTTGTGGCGGGTGAGTAGAAGAGGGTAAAGGGGGGGAGCTCTACAGCTGCTGGGGGACTGAAAGTCTCAGCATGACCTGGCTTCCGGGTGTACTTCCGGCAGAGCTGGAGAGCCACAGGTGGTGCAGACTGCTATAGGGACTGATAGAAGAGACAGGGACTCTGTGTGTACAGGGACCGATAGAAGAGACCCGGGGACTGTGTGTGCAGTGACTGATAGAGGAGACGGGGGACTGTGTGTACAGGGACTGATGGAGGAGATGGGGGACTGTGTGTACATGGACCGATGGAGGAGAAGAGGGACTGTGTGTACAGGGACTAATGGAGGAGACGGGGGACTGTGTGTACAGGGACCGATGGAGGAGACGGGGATCGATCGGTGACTGGGTTACATTGTAGCAGCTGTTGTGTTTTTTATGCTTCCTGTCCCGTGTTGCAGATGTCTGGTCTGGATCTTCATCCGTCAGCTGATTGGTGGTTGCAGTGCGACGTTCATAGGCCTCGGCGCTCCATTTATAACCTTCCAGTCACATGAGCTCACTTCATCTGACTGTTTCACATGTACACACAGCCCGTGAAATATTTATAAACACCGAGAATGGAATTTTATCGAAACTGGAGCTGACTAAATCTGGAGCAGCCGTGCATGCCAACCAATCAGCGTCTGACTTTCATTTTCTAAGCTCAACTGCACGGAATGAAGAGAGAAGCTGATTGGTTGCTATGGGCAACTGATCCAGACTCCAGTCTTCATTAATTCCCCTCTAAAGGTAAGGTCCAACAATATGTGAAAGAGTGGACTTACCCTTTAAGCACCCCTGCCATTATTAGACCTACGTCACACTTGTAATCTTGTCTTTGGAAACAACTTGTCAGCAACAGTATCACCGGGGAGTTCACAGGAACTGCTCGCTTGCTTTTGCGTTGTCACTCCCTCACAGGCCGGATTATCGAGGTGTCGCCACCTTGCCTAAGAGGAAGATTTGCATCATTTGCATTGCAGGGGGCGACGTCTTGCTAATCTGGCCAGAGAGGGAACATCACTGTGGAAACAGGTGAGTAGTTTCTCCCCAGGTGAGTCACCTGTACACCAACAGGATCACCACACACATTACAATTTGACTATACAATGTGCCTGGAGTTCTTTGCGCATTGTGGCCGGCTCACTTTTTCGTGGGGCAGGCGGGCCATCGAAGTGAATGACACAGTGGCCACGCCCTCCGGCCGCTATGCCATCGGTCCGGTGCAATCAAAATAGTGCTTGCAGCATTTTGATTGCAGCGGACCACCGGCATAATGTGCCTTGCGATCCCGTGCGGCCAGAGTGTCATTCACTTCAATCCCTTCCTGCTCCATAAAAATGTGAGGCAGTGCCTTCTGGACAGAATCTGGCCGGAACGCACTGCATCTGCTGTGAACGGGCCCTTTAACCTCTTGCCGTCCGCCCGTAGTAAAAAAACGGACGGACGGCACTGCAGCATCTGCGGGTTGCCGTCTCCAGACACGTTGCCTAATGATAACACTGGACAAGTAAGATTTTGCTTCTTGAACACCTCTGGGTGTGTCTTATAGATTTTTGGCTGCTAATGGGGAAAATAAAGTGACATTTTACCAATCGCGTACTATTTATTTTTTTTGTAACCTTTCCCAGCTGCAGGTTGTACACAAGGCCTATATTCAGATAACTACTCCCTGTAGACTTGTGTCTCCGAGCTCACGTATACCCTATTATCATCCTTCCCAGGACTGGTATACATAGTATATTGCAGCCACTCATCATGTTGTCTACTTACAGGGGACGATGAACAGTCTGTGCAGATGGCTGAGAGCTGGGAAGATGAAGGTGTGACACAGGTCGCCTCCGAAGAATTTGTGGCTATTAAACTCGACAGTAAGAGGTTTGTGAACAAAATATTTACTTCTTTTCATCTTTAAAAGAGAACTAAAGCCGAACCTTGTCTTGGTCCTTTTGGGTCAAAGGAGTATGTTTACTAATGTCCTCCTGTGACCCAAACTCAATATATAGCTGGCTACCGCCCGTTGTATGCTGATGGCCCTTACAATTTGAGGATTCACCCCGCTGCCTGATTGACAGCTGTGTTGGCCTCTCCAGAGCCAGCTGTGCCCGCCCCCTCCCGTCTGTCCGTCCAATGAGTGCTGGAGGAACAGAGAGGGGAATCCCTGCATGGAGCCATGATTGACAGTCACCTCTCTTTGCAGGGACAAAATCGCGAGCGATCAGCGGTTTGTGATCGCTCAGCTCTCTATCTATAGAGCCGGCGTGTGGCAGCTTCAGTGTCGCACACCGGCTCTAAGTATTTGGAAGAGTACATTTTCCTCTCCCAATGCTTCTCCTTTTAACGTTAAGTGCAAAATTGACACTTCCAGGAGTGTCGGATAAAGAGCCCATAAGACCCCTGGAAGTTTTATTTTGCTGTAGGATTGTCACCAAGACCGCACTAGACCGCTGCGGCAGGCCCGGGTTTCTAGAAGTTCTACTATTGCAGATTCTCTGCCTGTTTTGTTAGCCTGCAGCATGGTAGATGGTGACAGGGTCTCTTTTAAATACGAGCCCAGCTCCATAGGAGACCTTTGCTATGGTTTCTAATGGCGGAATGTTTCAGATCTCTAAATAGAAACATTGTTTCAGCTGCTGAAGCCGGAATGGATTCTAGTAGATTAGCGGATCTCCTGTGGCAGATGCCTCCAGGAATTTGTGTTTGCCCTTCCAGTATTAAAGGAAGACTTTACTGGAGGCAATATGTAGGCTGCGTCTGGCGGCCGTCTCTGACCGAAATACTTGGCCAGCGACCTGGAACTAACGTAGCAAAGAAAGTCAACTCCGGATCTGCATGCTTGTTCTATGTCTGTGATTCCTACATTACTGAAGGTTTTGGATCATCAGGACAGCCAGACAACAGGCAATTCAAAGCCAGCGGGTCAGGGAGGCGGGCTGCTGCGGGTCAAGAAGGCGGGCCGCTGCGGGTCAGGGGGGAGGCCCTGCACACTGTGAGCTTATCACAACGTACATTAGAAGCTGCAGCAAGCCAGCTAGAGCCGCCGCATTTCCTGTCTGGAGGACGTTCAGCATCATCTAGCCCATTGTTAGGACACCGTGCCACCCCAGCTGTTTATAGCTACAAGTCCCATGAGGCATTGCAAGACTTTGACAGCCCCAGGCATGACTCCCAGGGGAAGAAGCTTAATGGGGTTTGTAGTTTCAGCACAGTTAGAGCGATGAGGTTGCTTACCCCTGATCTAGCCCTTTGCTCCCTAGCCTGGAGGCAGTCTTCCTAGGAACGCCCTTTCCTCTAGCCTGGCTTCCACCCATTAGGACATTGAAATATTTGCATAACGGCTCCCTAGAGATAGCCCATTGCTTGCTTCAGAGCAGTGGGGTCTTGGGAGGAGTACTGAGGCGCGGTGCTTTGATGTTTTCAGGAAGTTATGCACAGCACCCTTCCGGCTTCTCCCATCAGCCATGCTTTGTCTGCATTGCATAGAGAAGCACAGACTTGGTGATGACATTACTGGTCTAAAATAAGGTATGTAATGAAAACAGAAAACAATCCATTAGTGTGATATGGAGGAACGATGAATCAGGGAAGGTAATAAAAGATAGATATTAATCTAAATAAATATATTTACAGGCAAAAGTTCAATATATTTTGAATTTCCAACCCTAAGATGAGATTTTGAATAGACTTTACTGAGTGATCTGAACTTCTCTGCGTTTTTACTTATTATATGTCTTATCTGTTTTCTTCCTCACAGTGAAACCTGCCTCCAGTTCTCACAGATCTGTATCCTTTCACAGGAAGTATACTGTAATGAGAATTGCTACACTCGCCTTTTTGTATTTGATTTAATATTGTTCAGTTTTTGTTTTCATTCAACACCCAGCCAAGATTTCCAAAAACTGCAATAAAATTCAAATGCTGCCCCCCGGTCACTAAGGCCCCGTTCACATTGAGCGATTTACCGCGCGGTAATTCCCGCGATATCGCGGCTATTTACCGCGCGGTAATTCCCGCGATATCGCGCGATATCGCTCTTCAATGCATCTCAATGGGGCAAAGGGTCCTGCTGTCGCGGGTCGTGTGTCGCTTCAGCTGGACCCTTTTTGGAGCGGATTTTGCCGCAATTCTCGCTTGCTCAATGCAAGCATTTGCGCGATATCGCACAAATTGCTAATCGCGCAACTAACGCATCGCGCAATGTGAACGGGGCCTTAGACATCACAGGGAGTATTGTGTACATTGTCGGAACCCCCCCAGAAATCTCATTCCCGATCCTCCAACCTAAAGCTCACACTTCTAGTCCTTTTTTAATAGGCTTAACCCACTCCAAATGAAGAGACACACTTCCTGAAGGGTAGATTGTGTTTGCTGTATTTGTATATATGTTTGTTTTCTTTATACACTCCACAGACATTCTGGAAGGTCAATTGGCTCCGGTCAATTGGCTCTGTATGCGTGTGAGATAGGGACCTTGGATTGGGTGCAGGGACTGATGTGTGTTATTTATTTCAGGTATTTATATAGCGCCAACAACTTACGTAGCACTTTACATAGTTGCACATTCACGTCAGTCCCTACCCTCAAGGAGTTTACAATCTAAGGTCCCTATATCACATGCAAACATACAGGGCCACATTATAGACAGGAGCCAATTAACATGTCTTTGGAGTGTGGGAGGAAACCAGAGTACCTGGAGGAAACCCACGCAAGCACAGGGGGAACATGCAAACTCCTTGCAGATATGGTCGGGATTCGAACCGGGGACCCCCCAGCACTGCGAGGCAGAAGTGCTAACCACTACATCACTGTGCTACCCTATGAGTAGTATGTAAAGCTGTGCAAATTGTCAGCGCTACATAAATACCTGTAATATCAATATATAAATTTTCCTATGTAACAGCTGTTCAGAGATGATTGTCTCTCCTCTGATATTTGCAAGCTCTACTTCCTGCTCTGTAACTTGAACCTGCTGTTTACTTAGATGTAATACTGTTGTTTGAGGACAGTCGCAGACATGTCACCACTTAATAGGCTACTTCACCTTGTAATGGGTTTTGTTTTGGTTTTTTTCGTGAATTTGTTTTTAATCCATTAAGATTCTGGTTTACAATGCAAATTAGAATGCTGCCTTATGTTTTTTTTATACCCCGTTCACACCTGGCGGTTCTGCCGCACCGATCCGCCGACATGAATACATTGCTAACGGGGACAGTTCATGCAACTGCGCGGGTCTGCAGGATCAGAACCGCCCCCCGCCCAAACTGCTTCCTGCACTATTTTTTTGCCACGTGCAGTTTCCATACAGGTTTCAGTGGAACCACATCAGATCAGGGTGGTTTTGGGCGTTTTTTTTTTTAAATCCTATTTATTAGATTTTTTTCAACAGCACATAATAACAATTTACAATTAATAATATAATTTTACATCCACACACAGACAACCAACATTTAAAATACTGCTAGTCTCATTACTTGGTCTATATTTTAGCATCTACATTTCATAGTCAACCCCAAACAATCTTCAGATTATGTTTACCAGATCTTCAGTCAGCTACTCGCATGACCCACCTAACTTCATTGACACCCTTCTACCTCCCCATTTATACAGTGATATTTCTAACACTATGTTTAATATTTCATGTTGATTTCTATGCATTGGGTGTTCTACTACTTCTAGTGATTTTTAGCGCATTTTATTTATTTATAATGTGTTTTTCTCCCCTTTACCTTCACTTTAGAGTTGAATCTCTATTAAAGTGTTAATAGTGCATTAACTAATACTATAAATTAATTTAGTGATCTAAGTGGAGTCAGACCAGGCATAGAAAGCCATGGGGACCATATTTTCCAAAATTTCCCCAAACATCCTCTATGTATAAAGATCTTTCTTTCAATAATATTTGGTTAACCTGTATACACCACTCCTCTAATCTGAATGGCCTAGGAGACAACCATCTAAATGCAATCAATTTCCTTGCTATACCCAGCAATCTTGTTATAATGTCACCAATCCCCCGATCCTGTCCCTCTCCCTCGGTTTTGGGCGTTTTTAATTGCGTTTCATCACTGAAACACAATTTAAAAACTCCCACCACCTCCCTTGGGAGATCAGCGCGGTAACTGCACTGATCCGCAACCACCCTGTTGTGAATGGGCTCTTAAAAAGTATGCTTACCTTTTTGTCCCGTGGCTCCCCCTCTCAATGGATGTGCAGACCCAGTTCCTTATGAATGAGCACTCAGCTAGAACTGGGCTTGCTTTCTCTCACTTGCAGAACACCGGGCACAGCTAGTGCTCCGAAAGAAAGCGGACTGCGCGTGTGTGGTTACCAAGCGGCATTCTCCTAGCAAGTGCTCATTCATGAGAAACCGGGGCTGCGCATCCAATGGCCAATCTATCCTGCCATGTGGGTGGGACAGAGAGGTGGAGCCCACAGGAGAAGCCTAGGGGGAGATATACAAAAACATATTTTGATGTTCAGTTGGAAAGTCTTTAATAAAGGATGTACAACTAGCAAAACTATGCAAATCTGTCATCAAAGCAAACTCCTGTCACCCCCTATGCAGCAGCATTTAGACTGGGAGGGGACAGGGCAATGCTAGGAGCCAATCAGTGCTCTGTTACATGTACAGGAGGAGAGAGCAGAGCGAGAGTTGATAACTTATCTCTGTGTTACTGCTTTTCATTTGTCCTTTCACAGACGGGAAGGTGACACCACTGTATGCATTAATTCTAACAGAGGAAGTTGTCACCCTGCTGGCAGCCGTTTAGTGTAATAATAGGAAAAGCGGCTGGACAGAATTACTTTGGTGGATGAGGCAGCTGCTTGGCAGAGTACGGCTTTAATTGAAGGGGATTTCCCAATTGCAGATTGGACCCCTATGCAAGATTCCAATGTGTAGTACTATGGAGAGGTCCTGCAACTTACTTTTGTGCAGCCCAAGTGATTGCAATTGATGCAGCAACTCTTCCTTCCTTCCTTCCTTATATAATTGGCCTCCATGAAGAAGTATTTTTATAAAAGTTATAATTAAAATGTTAATTACCTTTTCTTTGTTTTTAATGCATATTGTACATTTTGTTCATTTTAAAGGAGAACTATGAGATGAGTGATTTCCACTCACCTCATAGTTCTAGCCGACCTGTGACAATGAGACTGTCACAGGTCGGCTCAGTAGATCGGGAGGTGAGCGAACACATAACGGGTTCGGTTACCTTCCGATCCTGTCACGGCTCTCTGCCTCTCTGGATTCCCCCCTCCCCGCTCCGATCTGCCAGCGCTGACTGGCGGAACGGACGGGGGAGGGGGCGGGTACAGCTGGCTCTGCCTCTAGATAGGCAGAGCCAGCTGTCACTCACACAGCTGGGCGGATCCCGTCATCTACGTCGGGATCCGCTCCGGCTGCGGCGTCTCAGTATACCGCAAGCTGTAGCTCGCGGTATACTGAGCTTAGGGTAACGGGAGGACGCTAGTTTGTGTCCTCCTGTTACCCTAAGGAGAACTATGGGGAAAAACACTGACCCCATAGTTCTCCTTTAAAGCTTTGAGACAGGACTGTCTGTACTTCCCTTTAGGAACCAGTCATACCATCGGAGGAAAATGACAACAGGAGAATGAAAGGAAATCTGATTGGCTGCTGTTAGCTAACAAAAGAGGACCGATTTACAAAATCTGCAGAAATTCCCGTAGCCACCATTTAGAATTATGCTTCCAAATGAAACATGGAATCTGATTGGCTGCTAATGGAAACAGTGACTGTTACAATGTCTAACAGTCACTAGAGACATTGATAAATGAGGACTATTATGGCATCGGAAAGGTTTTTGTGCACATCTTCACCTCATGTGATTTCTCCTTGACAAGCCTTGCTGTAGATCCTGTGGTGTGCGTCCCCGCCAGCTTCTTCATCGGTGACAGTGGAATCCCACTGGAGGTCATCGCTGGTGGTATCTCCGCAGAAGAGCTCGTAGGAAAGATCACAAAAGTGAAACAGGTGCTGATTGCTGGATGTATATCTGTTCTGTACTTTAGTTGTGGCTCAGGCAAGAATCCATGCCAAGGCCCCAAAGCCTTTTGTCCGCTTTCCCAGATTGCATGAAGTTTATTTATAGCTTTAATAATCTCGCTTCTCTTTTTGTAACCCGATATTTACCACACCGACCTTAAAGTGACACTAAAATTTTTTAAATGCATCCAAGTATCTTGACTATAAACAACAATGTATCTTATTTGTGTATCACTCGGCTGTAGATCCTCAAATCATCTCTGAATTGGTGCTGACACTGTCCTTCCTTCTGGAGGGCGGCTACTTATGGTCCCAAGGGGGGAATTAAGAGCATCATGGGCCTGGAGCAGAGGCAGCTCTCTAATTGGGCCGCTGCACGCTCCTCACTGGGGCCTTGCAGGGCCCCCCCCAGCAAGGAGCGAGCTGCTGCCTAATATGCCTGATTAGAGAGCCGCCAACACTTCTACCTCATTGTGTCCAGACCAGATTGCCAGCGGGCATATCGGGGTGATCCATGCCAGCTGGGCCTGGCGCTCCAGTAGCCTATATGTTTATCCGGCCCTGATGGTCCCTGTATGTGTTGTAACATGGTCACCGCTCCAAGATCACTCCCGGGAATCATATTTGTGTATCGCTCGGCTGTAGATACTTAAATCATCTCTAAATTGGTGCCGACACTGTCCTTCCTTCTGGAGGGGGGCTACTTTTGTTCCCCATGGTTCCTGGGTGTGTTGTAAAGTAGTCACCGCTCCAAGCTCACTCCCGTGATGGACTACAATCTCATGTTTAGTTTACTCATTTGTATTGAGATTGTAGCCCATCACAGGAGCGAGCTTGGAGCGGTGACTACTTTTACAACACACATCGGGACCATGGGGAACAAAAGTAGCCCCCCTCCAGAAGGAAGGACAGTGTCGGCACCAATTCAGAGATGATTTCAGGATCTACAGCCGAGTGATACACAAATAAGATACATTTCTGTTAATAGTTGAGGTACTTGAATGTATTTTGAAGATTCAACTCCTGAGTTTAATGTCACATTAAATTGGACCTTGAACCAAACACGCAATGCCTGCTTATTTACTTAGCCTTCCCTTTAATACCAGAACACTGCCATAAATGGGGGAACATTGTACCTGCTGATACCCTTTAAACATTTTCAAAAATTATCATTGCTTCCCTAATGTCGTACCCACCCCCTCCCAGTTTCTAGCTAATGGTTTATTGAGCACAATGGTTAACCAATAGCTGAGAAGGTTACCACGGACCACACTGTGGTCAGATGTATTAGATGCCACTTAGTCTTCTAAGATTTGTTACGATCAGTATGGACTTGGTTATTTTATGCATATTTTTTTGTAATGTACTTTACCACAAACTTTCACAGGTATTACCTGATTTCGGCTTGGTGCATAATGAAATCCTGTTTAATGCAGTTGCTGGCACTTTTCTATGTTATGTCATCATGAAAATGCAATTATTTGTAAAGCTAGCAAAGGTTGAGACTATTCCCAGGAGCCGGGCTTGCCAGCACATTTTACCAATTACAGCTAGAGCCTGACTTGCTTTCTAACCTTTTCCGTTGTTAATGAATGCAAATGTTTGCTGGCTCCTAGGCATAAAGCGTATCTAAACCCAAGAACAGAAATGTAATATACCAACTCACAGATGCGTTGCCAGCGTTAGTTTTCTTTCTTTTAATCTCACCTGTTGATCCTGTCAGTATTACACTTCTGTTCTACGGTGACAACTCTAAAGCTGGCCATACACTATGCAAAATTCACACAGTGGGTGCCGCTGTTGGCTCGCTTGCTGCCGGCATCTCTCAATCAGTTGATTGAAAAGAGACGGTCGGAAAATCTTAGTGCGAACAGAGCTGGCAGTCAATGAGCTGCCCGGCTCTGTTCGGGTATCCGGACATCAGCTGCTGTCCGAAAAAAGGATTACCAAGCGGGTTCCTCGATCAATATAAGCGTTGATGGAGGCATCTGTCCTATTTTTATTATTTTTATTTTTTCCCTTCAGCCCCTAGGTTGAAAGAAAAATATAGCACAGTGTATAAAAATCACAGCAGCATGCGGATCTGCATGCTGATTTAAAAATCTTTTTACATTCATTAAACATATTTTTAATTTCAAATTTAATAGTAAAAGCCGCGCTGTGTGAAAAACTGCAAAAGTGTCGGATATAGTAGATACTGACCTTAAAATGTGTTACAATGTGTAAAAAGGGCAAAACAAAGAAGAAACGCATGCATATAACATGCACCTCAGTGTAAATGCATTGCTACAAAATATCCATAATAAAAAATCAAATACAATAGATGTTAACTGTGAAACAATGTGCAATGAATAACAACTAGAAAAAAATGCATGTGTATAACATGCACTTCAGTGAAAATAATAAATGGTTAAAAATTGTCCATGATCCTGAATCCTCAATAGTCCATTAGGAAAATAGAAGATACAACATTGGATGTAAAATAATCTCAGTCTCCTGTGACCATCAACAGAGAAATCTTCTGGAATGCACCTCACCTTTAGCAGAGACCCACCAGGGTCTGTATGCGCTGTTCCTCTAATTCAAACCGGGTAGAGGAAGCACCTGATGCCGAACACCTCCCAGTGATTTCCTCCTCTCAGGTACAGACTCTCTTGCAGTCTCAGGAGATGAAAGCAGACAATTCATCCAAATGGCCCATGCATCAAATAAAAAGTGGAGACTCGTAGTGCAGATGTTTTTAAAAGGATACTAAACTTTATTAAAAAAGACACCCCTGATGATGTCACGCCCTTTGACGTAACGTTTAGTGTAGGGTGGAGTAGAGGAGCTGAGCGATTGCACACAGGGTCTGTGGCTGCTTACTAAAAACTTTACTTTTATGATATGCGTGTAGTATCCTTTTTTTAATAAAGTTTAGTATCCGCCCGAAGAATTGACCGGTGGACTTAATTGGACCGTCCGTCCGAAAGGGGCCCCAGTCTGCTTTTATGGAGGAGCAACGTTGTAACCCTAGGATTTGTAATACAGAACCCCCCCCATATCTCCATAACGTGTGTGTCATGAAAATAATGCTATTTTTGCCCAGAGATACACTAATACAGTTAAAAGGGTTTGTAAGTTGTATATAAGTGTAACTGTATTCTGCACTGTACCTGCCAGCTCTGAAGAGAATACAATAGATTTCTGTCCCATGATCTCATAGCTTCTGATCTTTCCATATCTCTGTAGATGCACACAGGAGACGGTGACGGGTTACCTACAAATCCACAACTGTCCACTAGCCCTCCGGTGACCTGCTCTGCTGAATCCTGCCCCGTACCACAGTGCCCTGCAGAGGATTTACAGCCTCCATCAGTGGAGACCCCCGGAGATTCTCCAGCTTCTTCCCCAGGTCTGAATCAGTACCTAGAGTCAGGATTCTGATGCAGAATCTGATGTTTTTTGATATATTTAATTGCATCATGTCCTCTCTGTTATCCTTGTAGTGCAAGATGACCATTCGCCCACGGAGCAAACAAAGGAACTTCAAGAAGAAGGGAATGCTGAGATAGCAGACTCCCAACCTGGAGAGGAAGTGACAGAAAAAGTGCAGAGGTCAGCACCATGCCTAAATATGTACAGTAAGGGGCCTAACTATTAAAAAGAAAAAAATGTGCTGCTTATGTTCGAATGTATCTGTATTCGTGCAAAAGTTGTGAATAATACCCTTGAGAATGTTTTTTTAATGTGAGAAATGTTAAGACACTGCTCTATACAGGAGTAGTACACTGAAACAAACATAACGGGCAGGTGGGAGGACAGCTACCTTGTGGGGTCGGCTAGGTGTGACTATTTACTGATAGGGCTATCATGGGTGCCAATGTCTAAGCAGCTATGGCAGCAGCTAGAGTGACAACACTAGTGGTTTCCCTGAAGAAATAAGCGGATTTTTCAAGCTCTGATTATAGCAGAAATAAGGTCCAACTACAAAATCACAAGTGATGTAGGCTGCCTTTATCATTAGAACCAATGGATAAGCACTTCATAATTTAAAGGTGGCAACACTCTTGTCCGTGACGAGAGGATGGCGGAGCTGGACGAGTAGCTTCCTAGCCGGCCGTTGTAATGAAACGGCCAGCCGGGAGCTTTAAATTCAAGCGATGGGGCGTCTCTAGAGACGCCCCATAGCTTGTATTAGCAGCAGCTGTCATTGCCGTTCCCAAGATCCACTGTGCCCGGTGCGGTCGGGACAGGCATGGCTGCTCTGTGACAGGAGATCAGAGAGTTGGTGCAATATCTCCTTCTGATCTCCTCTCCCGTCCCCGAATGCAGGAAGTGATGTATATTACATCACTTCCGCATTTTGTTGTCACTCTCCAGCTTCAGAAGCTGGTGAGGCAGATCTCTGCTTCCCTGGGGGTCCCTAGGTGACAGGGGTCTTGGGGACCTCGGATGTCCCCATAAAGTCTCCAATTTACATGACAGGTCATCACACGGGGCTTCTTAGCCCCCCCATGTGATAGCAATAAAGGGTAAAAAAAAAAAAAAAAGTAATAAAAAAAACGAAAGAAGCATTAAAAAAAACACTTTTTTTAAAAAGTCCCCCAGATACACTCGCAAGCATGCATATCACCGCGAACGTCTGAGTGAGAGCAATATTTCTCGGGCCATTAATCACTGATAACACTAAACTGATGAGCAGTAAAGGCGTTTAAAGCGTCGCCTATGGCCAATTATCGGTATGGTTGGTTTTTGTGATATTTTTTTTTCTCTTGCGAAGCGCATGCAATTTTAGGGCATGACATGCTTGGTGTTTTTTTACCCGACGTGACCCCGTCTTTTTATATTTTACCAAAAATATGGGTAAGAATAGTTGTTTTTTTAACATAACGTAGGAATTTTTTAAAAAAATGTACAGTACTATCTTCATTGTATAGTAAAAAATAACCCCCTCTCCCCCGGAGGTGATTATATACCTCCAAAATAAAGCTGTGTCCCCAAACACTTTTAACTTAAATTGCAAGGCTGTAGTCCGGTCATGCTAACTGGTGAGACACCCTAAAAATGTTCAAGCCCTGGCTATAATGGTAGATATGATCTTCTTTTTTTTTTACAGGGGTTGCCGAGTTTATCTTGAATCTACTTGATCTACAAACCTTCCATTTTATTCTGATGAATATGACCTGAGCATAGTTTTATAAGCTGTTTTTTTTTTTTTTTTTTTTTTTTTAGAGTATTGCAGAAGTTGGAACAGAAACAGGAGGAGAAAAAGAAAGGGGAACAGGAGGTAGAGGAATGTTATGTACAGATTGTTTAATTTTTTTCCATGTACCTCATTTTACTGCGCCTTTCTTTATCAATTCGTCACACTTACTGCAACTCAACTCTGTAATGGTAAAATCATATGCTCGGCTGTGTACAAAAAATGTAAATGTTCCTAAAAAAAGAACCCAACCCTTCTATAAACTAGTGCAAGCACAGCACTGATTGTATGGCAATGTTCATTTAACCCTTTGGGTAGTAAAGCCCACATATCAAGCCTTAGGCCTCATTCACACCCAGATGCAGTGTGTTCCGGCTCACTGTGTTGTGGAGCAGGAGAGGCCGTGGCGGTCCATTGAAGTGAATGGCACCGTAGCCACGCCCTCCGACCGCAATGTGATCTGCTGCACGGGATCGCAAGGCACGTTATGCCTGCGGTCCCTTCTGAACAAAATGCCGGGCCGGAACGCAACGCACTGTATCTGGTGTGAACGAGGCCTTAGGGCCGGTTTATTTCCTGTTAGAACTGCTTCCCGTGCACATAAGTAGGAAACTGGTTGATGCAACCGAGGAAGAAGTCTGTGTACCTGTCAGTGATCTCAGAAGCATCTTTCACTGACGTCATATGCAAGTGGTATCCACCTGAAAGCAATTTATTCATCAACAATAGCCTTGTGCCGAATCAAGGCATCTGATGCATGTGAATAGACCTTTGCTACTCATCTGGATCAGCCTCTTTTTTAGGAAGTTGCTCTATGCATAGCGAATACATTGCCGGTATAGGGTACAGTAAATCTCTTGGATATCTTTAGAGAGCTCCACTCCTTTTTTTTTTTTTTTTTTCTGTAAACAAAGCCTGGGTCACGCTCGGAGCGGTGACAATTTTAATGCACACATGGGGACCATGGGAAACAAAAGTAGCCCCCCTCCAGAAGGAAGGACAGCGTCGGCACCAATTCAGAGATGATTTGAGGATCTACAGCTAAGTGATACATAGTTGAGATACTTGATTGCATTTTTAAGTTTTAACTCCTGAGTTTAGTGTCACTTTAAGATGAACAGACTTACCGCCCACGTCTTAACTGCAGCAAAATGCTTAATAGCACGACACTGGAAACAAAAAAAACACATCACCTCCTTCACAAACAGACCTTATCAACCACATTAGGGAGATACAGTTGATGAAAATTCTGTCCACCGAGCACCCTAAAATTGATATGAAAGGAAAGCCCTGGAGTCGTATTACTCAAGACCTACTGTCTGATGGTGTATCATTCTGGTGTATAATTCTGCAGCCTGACATCCCCCTCTTCCTTACCTGTTGGCTCTCTTTTTTTTAATCTCTCCCTCTCTCTCCCTCTCCCATTACTCCCCCCACCCCCTTCATTCCCTACTTTTTTGTGGGTATTCCACAATCAGATGTTCTAATAAGGGATTTTATATATCATTTAAGGGCATGTTCCTCTTTAGGAAGTACCATCCTCTACATTACAAGGATTTTAACTGTTACGCCTCAGAGGGCTATTGCCATTTTCTATATGCAAGAATATCCCATTACATTACAATTATGCTGGGATCCGCCCAGCTGCGTGAGTGACAGCCGGCTCTGCCTATCTTGAGGCAGAGCCAGCTGTACCCGCCCCCTTCCCCATCCGTTCCGACAGTCAGCGCTGGAGGATCGGAGCGGGGAGGGCGGAATCCAGTCCCTCCCCTGTCACGGCTCTCGAAATATGCGCTTATGACACACGTTTCGTGCCGCACATTTTTACCCCGATTTGCGGTCCACGAACACACGCATCAAATGCGCGTTTACGAGGGCTATCTGGCTGTATCCCAATGGCTCTAAAATAAATTTTTAGACGTTTGCGGCGATATGTAACATGTGCGGCACAATAGGCGCAATCGTCTTCGCACGTAGGCGCACCCGACGCATATCTGTGTGTGTATGTGGGGTGCGGGGACTTTAAAAAAATGTTTTCTTTGTAAAAAAAATGTATGCTTTTTTTTATGATTCTTTTAATTTTTGTATTTATTTTTTATTTTTATTTTTTTACACACAACTTTATTGCTATTACATGGGGGCTAAGAGGCCCCCTATGGGATAGCCAATTTACATGACAGATCTTCTTTATGGAGACATCAGGGGTATTGAAGACCCCTAGGGGTTGATTTACTAACCTTATAAACACACCACGAACGTGTATACACCTCTGCAGTGTGTTCCCTCCCAGCATGATCTATGGGTGGAATCTAAACACCTTTGTAATGTGTACACACCCAGCAGGTGTGTTGTGCAAAGCCCTGAAGGAATTCCAAGGTGATGTTGGGTAAATTAGCTCTATGTTGTGTTGCTTGCGTTGATGAATGCAAGGAATGTAAATGCATGAGCTAACCATTTTTGTCTAAACTGTGAAGCAGCATTATATATGCATCATGTGCATGATTTTTCCATATATGGCATTAGTGGAAATATGCTTTTAGAGACTTTTTGGTTGATAAATACGTTTTGCTGTGTGAAAATCACACACACCTGGTGTGTGTGTGTGTGTTTAGGTTAGTAAATCACCCCCCTAATGTCACCTAGGGACCCCCAGAGAAGCTGATGAAGCAGAGATCGGCTTCATCAGCTTCTCTAGGCTGGAGAGTGACACTGAATGCAGGAAGTGATGTAATATACATCACTTCCTGCATTCAGGTACTGAGAGGAGATCAAAGGGAGTTCGTATACTGAACTCCCTTTTAACTAATGTCACAGAGCCGTGCCGCATCGGGCACAGCGGGACTGGCAACGGCAGTGACAGCTGCTAATACAAGCGATCGAGCGTCTCTAGAGACGCCCGATCGCTTGACTGTAAAGCTCCTGGCCGGCCGTGAAGCTGCTCGTCGGGCTCCACTGTCCTCTCGTCGTGGACGAGTGGATTTTTCAAGCCCTGCACACAGGGATACATTGGGATGCATTTTTAGTGCAGGAGCGTACAGATCAGGTCAGCACAGAAAACGGACATCGTGTGAAGGGCCTAAGGGCCTGTTCACACGACGTCAGTTTTCTGTGCTGACCTGATCCGTACACTCCTGCACTAAAAAGGTATCCTGTGTGTGTTATGGGCTACAGTTCTCACGTGCGCAGTCCGTTCAGGTTACGACAGAAAAATACTGCATGTCACATTTTGTACGGTCCGGAAACGCAAAACGCATCAAAAACGCACTGCAGCTAACATACTGACAGCCTCACTCCAGCTGTCAGTATGGAACGCATCAAAAACGCGGCAAAACACATAGCACCGCGTCTGCTGATCCGGACCTGAAACTTATGTGAACAGGCCCTTAAGGTTGTAGCATCTTAGTATTTCAGTGTTGGTGCTGCCAGTGGGATCCATGTTGATTTTTTTACAGTGCAGCTTTGTTGTATAAAGTCCTAATTGTGCTAAACGTTCTTGCAGAAGGAAATTAAACGAGAAATGGAGAGAAGGAAGTCGGGCAAAGAGATGCTGGATTATAAGAGGAAGCATGAGGATGACCAGGCCAGGCGGGCGCTGGAGGAGAGGAATAAAGACAAGGCAGAGGAGAAAGCTGCCAGGGACCGCATCCGGCAACAGATCGCCCAGGTGAGCTCTCTTTATACATGTTGATTTAAAGGTGCAATAGCAACACAGACTACATGAACCCAAACTGTGAACTTTGTTCACATATCTAAAAAAAAACAACTTATTCTCAGCACCTGACCACATATTATATTGCAGCTGCATGAGGTTTTTGGAATTATGCTTTTATCATGGCTTTGGAGGTAAATCTGTATTTCCAATCTCAAAAGGATCGTGCTGACCGTGCTGCTCGCTATGCACAGAATAAGGAAGAACAAGATGCAATAAAAGCAGCAGAATTACAAGCAAGGCAGGCGGAGATGGAAGCCAGGAAGGAGGCAACACAGAAAGAGAAAAGGTAATGCACTTTCCTATTGCATGTCTTGTATGTAGCAGTGCTTGTATAACTGCCTGGCTGTTGTCTGCTCTTAGGTCTGCTCACTGTGTAACTGAGCTAATGCTTCCCATACAGGTAATTTAACACTGCAGGAAAAATATCACTTGGGGTAGATGGGGGTTAGAGTGCCATGTCCTACTGACTTGCTATATCCAATATCTGTTCAGACATGTGTGCTGTTCGTAGAGGGCTCCACTTGTAGCTTTGCCGTAAGCGAATTGGAGTACAATAGAGGGTGTCACAGAAGTTTGTATGTGTAAATGAGCCTAAGCATACTGTAATCTCTCCCCAGGACCATCGCCAGGATACAGTTCAGAGTTCCTGATGGATCTTCCTTCACAAACCAGTTCCCATCAGAAGCCCCCCTGGAAGAGGCACGGCAGTTTGCTGCACAGGTTTGTCTCCGATCCTTGTCATTAATTATGCAACATTAGCCCTTTTAAGCTGAGTGATTTGATCAGAATGATTCCTATTCACTGTGCTGAGGCAGCCTTGAAAACCCACACTCCTATCACCGAGCTTTGTTGACTACAGTCGTGGCCTGTCCTGGCACTATGGGCAATGGTAAACTCACTACATCTGTGAATATCCATGGCAGCAAGTAGGGATACACTGATACTTGCTGCCATGCTCGTACTTGCCCAAATGCTCCGATACGGACAGAGGAAAATTTCCTTTGACCAACAGTGTCGTAGGGGAACATGGAGCTGGCTTCCTGGGCAATCAGGAAGCCGGGTGGTGATTAATTACCCACCTCCCGGCTTCCTGATTGGCTGGGAGGCTGGCTCGATGCTGATTGGCAGGGAATCTGGCTTCCGAGCCAATCAGCATGGAGCAGGCTTCCCGGCAAATCGGGGAGGCGTGTTATTTCTTGCCGCCCGGCTTCCTGATTGGCTGGAAAGCCGGTTTCCTGGCCAATCACAATCGAGCCGGGCAATCAGGATGCCAGGCAGCATGTCTTTACATGCCACCCGGCTTCCTGATTGCCCGGGAAGCCGTTTTCATGCCAGCGGAAGCACCGGTATCGGCAAGTACCGAAAACAAAATATCGGTACTTGATACTGAAAAAGCGGTATCTGTGCATCCCGAGCAGCACGAAATGGCTTCAGGAAATGGGAGGCAATTTTAGAAAAGAGCCACATTAATGAGATGCATGTTGTACCTTTATGGTAACACGAGATGGCAGTGTGACCTCTGAATGGAATTCCTATATTTCTGCTACTGGAATACAGTTAAATGAGCAGTAGGCATTTGTCTGATTTATTAAAGGAAAAAAAAATGGTGGAAAGTATTGCCAAGTAATCACCCAATGACAGGTAACCCCACTGCAAGGGTTAAAATAATAATATCCGGATAGTCAGCTGTTTACATTGATCTTATTGGCTGATACAGTTGATTTAAATAGGTTGCAATAATCTTAAAGTATTGTTTCTACTTACAGAGAGTTGGGAGCACCTATGGTAATTTCTCCCTAGCCACCATGTTTCCCCGAAGGGAATTTACCAAAGAAGATTATGGGAAATCTTTTCTGTCTTTGGAACTGGCACCCAGCGCCTCTATAGTCCTCTTACCAGTAAGTCTACACCAAATTGTGTTCTAAGGAAAGGATGGTTGTACTGTATATAACTACATTCTCTCTATCTCCTCCTCATCTCTATCATCTCTCTCTGTTACCGAATTGTGATAAATAAATGAGTGTTATTAAACCAAGCGGCAGACAACTAACCAGAATTAGTTTCACAGATCGGACGTATCTCATCTGCAGTAAACTGAATGTTGGTTGGTTAATATTGATTATTTCCTGGTTTACATGACGGGCTATTATTCCGGTCTTACTGATAAACTGATTTATTGTTCTCTTTCGCAGGCTGGAAGACAAGCTCGGGCCGTAGTACAGTCATCAGATGTTGGTATCTGGGGGTTTCTGGGGACTCTGTTATACCCTCTCCTCTCAGTATGGCGGTTTATCAGCAATTTCCTGTTCAGTAGCCCACCTCCAGCACAGCACTCAGACAGGGCAGCACATCCCCAGCAGGAGAATACAAATCCCACATCGCCTAACAGTTCAGAGCCAAACAGGTAAGTGAAGAGTGAGTAAACTTTGTACACCACAACACAAGCAGGAGGGTTGTTGGATCTCTGCAAAGAGACCACTGCTTCCACACAGCAAGGGTCCTTCTCTGCAGCATGCTGGCAGGGTTTCTACTCGGGCTGTAGCTGGTTTCTTAAGAAAACAAACTGTAAGACTTTGCACTTTTGTGTATGCACCTGTAGAGTAGAGCGTCCCTTATCAGTGTATGTATCCCCATTTCCCTGCACACTATCCAGCCTCAAATTAAATAAAAATTACACTGACCCTTCGTGCAGTGGCATTGCAACTCTAATCTATGAGAGCCTCCATTTGGAGCATGAATTGGGTGCAGGTTTGCCGGGAGGCAGTCCATTCCTCCATAAAGGCACATGGACAAACCAGAAGCCCAGCACATCACAATGGTAGCTGAAGCCCCTAGTGTGTCCCCACACCAAATCCAACAAGTGAAACAAATGGCACACACACATCAATTCATAACTAGCTTTAAAGTAAGTTGCATATGGAAGGGCTTTACGCATTACAAACGCAAAAATTTCCCAGCACGCTTGCCAACCAGCCTGCCAAAAAATAAAATAAAAAACATAGTACACTATAAGGTTTAAAACAGAGTTTTTAGTTGCCACAATGCCTCGTCAATGCCCTTGTGTGTAGTGTGGTCCCAACTGTAATCTTTTGAGAGCCTCCATCTTAGAACATATTTTATAGCAAAGGATGAATTGGGTGCAGGTTTGCCAGGAGGAAATTCTTTCATTGCTTCTGATTGTCAGATATCAGACAAAATACAAAGTGAGAACAAATCTCCTCACTTCCTGTCTGTCCTAGCAGTGTTTGACAGAACAGGATGTTTGGAAAAATCTTCCCAGTAATAGCCCTCTAATGACAGGTTGCCATTTAATCTGATGACATCCAAACACTGCAACAACAGATTAGTTCCGAAGAACATAATAATATTATTCAGGATTTTTATGATGCGCAGCAAATGCTATCAGGAAAGTATATTAGAACTTCAACACTCTCTCCCCAAGGTATGGAGATAGAGAGAGGAGGATACTTGCTGTCCTAGGCTGACAATACTGTTCCTCCATAGGTACTACGGATGCACCGATACTGATACTAGTATCTGTGCCAATACCGAGTAAATGGGCGAGTACTCGTACTCTTCCCAAATGCTCCGATACCTTCTCCAATACCAAAACTTCTGGTCAGAGGAAGATTTCCTCTGGCCAGCAGTGCCGTAGGGGGATCATGGACTCAGATTCCCGTGCGATCAGAAAGCTGGGCAGCGAGTAATGACCCGCTTCCTTGCCAATCGGGAAGCTGGGAAGAAGCGAGCCGCCCGACTTCCTGATAGGCCGGGAAGTCGACCAGATGCTGATTGGCTGGGAATCCGGTTTCCAAAGCACAATAAAGCCAGCTAGACAACATGGAGCCAGCTTCCATGCCCGGGAAGCTGGCTCTATGCCAGAGGAAGCATCAGTATTGATGAGTACCGAAAGCAAAGTATAGGTACTCGATACAGAAAAACCGGTATCTGTGCATTTCTAATAGGTACAATGCAGTTATAAATACTATCATGTGCCGAGCTAAATAATAAAATCGCAAATCAATCGTGAACAGTGATGAAAACAATACAGCATAACATATTGGGCTCTAAATAACCACAAATCATGTTAACATATCAGACTCTATATAGCCACAAATCATGTGACAGTGGTGAAGAAAAAAATGAAATAACTCAGTCCTTGTGATATCAAGTCCAATATAGGAATATGTCAGAATGAAGTCCTAATAGGACAAAATAACATCCAAATCAAATGTCAGTGAACTGAAAAGTGATCATCAATCAGGAAGAATGCCCTGCAGACCGCAACCAGAAAATGATTCAATCCAGTTAGTGAGCGTTGTCACCCTAGGACAGGAAGTGTGTTACTGGCAGAATCGCCAGGTGAAAATACATTGTAACAAGGCTGAAATAAAACTATTGTAACAACCACATCTAAGCACTGATGAGCTGTAACATACTGTATTTTTGTTGTTGTTGAGAAAACAGTTTATTGTTTTACACATTTTAGGTACAAACACTGCATCCTATACGTACCCAAAAAAAACTGGGCACCAGTCATAGCAATGAAGTTAACAATCAGAAAACAACAAGGGAAAATGAAAAAGGGGAAAATGTAACACAGTACAGGTGGAGGGGAGCGTTTCCCAAGGTAGCTCACCTAGCGAGACAATGCATCATATTTACATACATGGTTAAGACTCGGTAATGAGAGAAAAATTATAAAAGGGGGGATTCAGTGGTGGGATGTGGGCCTGCCCATAGCCAGGTGACATAGCAATGACATAAACATATCAATGTCCCATAGAAAGGACTAACAAGTCTCTAAAATCTTATGCATCCGTATCTACTGCAGAGTCAGTCCATTCTAACCAGCTATCCCAGACTTTGTGAAACTTATCTGGGCATCCTCTGTGGACATATGTGTCTTGGTACAAAGGTAAGGTGTCATTAACCAGTTTGGTTTAGATGCACTATAATTTGTTTTCCATTGTTCCACAGGGAAGCAGTTCGAAGGAGAGTACTTGACAAACGGGCAGACGAATTCAAAAAAGAAGGCAAAATCTACAGGTTAAGGACGCAAGATGACGAAGATGAAAACAACACATGGAATGGAAATTCCACCCAACAGATGTAATAGAGTAGATGTTTATTTAGACTTTTCATTTGAGCCACTTTGCTGCGATTGGGGGTCCTTTATTTTAATCACCGTCATATGGCCATTTAATTACATAGCGATATGCATGACTTAGGATCCTTTTAACTCTTTTTAATTAAGGTTTGGTTCTTACAGACGCCGCTCACTATAATATATGCTTCTATGATAATAAATGATTGATTTTGGGTTTTTCTGTTTTTATTTTGGAGAAGCGCTCGGTTCCGCAGGACTTTTTTTTCTCTGAACCTTAATATTCAGCACATAACGGTCGCCGTTGGGTTTTTTGCAAGAATGTGTTTATTAATGATGAACACTATTCTACATAACTTATTTATATTGATTGGTTTTCTTTATCACTTCCTCTAGAACCCAGTCATTTCTCATAGTTTTCAATCGTCGGTTTTCAAACGTTGCCAATAAAAAGTTTTTCAACAAAAGTTGTGTCTTGGGGTTTGCGTTTTAAAAGTAAATCCATCACTTAATTTAACTGAGATTGAATGTGCTATGTGTATGTCTGGGCGCAGAAACAAAAACAACCTTTGCAGTACATCTCTGCAAAACATTAATTTGCCCATGTTTTATTCCTTTTAAAAATGCTGCAAGTTCAAAATCATACCTGTTCTGATCTGCTACAAATCCAGCGTGTTTGTAACTTCTGTAAACTGACAATGCTGCACTGAAATCTTATTTGTTATCAGCCCTGCCCAGTTCACCTATGTGGACTACAGAATACCTTTCTCCTCTGTTACTGATATGAGAAGTGTTTTCCAAACGCGCTTCTAAGGTCCCTTTCACGCTGGAGAAGGTCCGTCGACAGATCCTCTCCTGATCAGATCGGCGCGGATCGGATGTCACTGCTGTGACATCCGTGTCTGTACAGTTTTTTTTCCTCCTTCTTGCCATGGAGGAAAAAACTGAACATACCAGACCCCATGCAAGTCTGTGGGAAATCTGATGTAAATGGACATGTATCCGTTTACATCAAATTACCTCCGGGTTTGGCGCGATCCTGTCCGTCAAAACGGATCAATAATCTGTCTGTTGTACCGGACCTAACCAGGTTTTAAACCCGCTGCCCATAGACTTGCATACAGCATCCATTCGGGTCCGGCTGAAAAACTGACAGGCGGACCTTTTCGGACCGCTCATGTGAAAAAGAGGCCCAAGGGTGAATTTTCCTAGGGCAGCCCTTTCTAAACCATTTTTACCATGGAGGAATCCTTTAAAAGGCTTCAGGTCTCTGGGAACTGCCACTGAAATTTATTAGATCTAAAGCTCCTAGTACAATAGCATCATTCGTAAATTGTAAATTTTTAATTTAACAAAATAAACAAACGGGCATCACTGAGAATGCAGCCTATCCATTCACTGGAGACCAGTGACACCACTGAGAATGCAGACTATCCACACACTAGAAGCCAGTGACACCACTGAGAATGCATCCTATCCATTCACTGGAGAGCAGTAACATCACTGAGAATGCAGCCTTTTATTTTACTACCGTGTTTCCCCGAAAATAAGACCACTGTCTTGTATTTTTTTTTCACTAAAAAAGACACTAGGTTTTATTTTCGGGGAAAGTCTTCTTTTTACCTGGCTTCAGCTGTCAGTACAGGATAGTCCCGGCGGCAGACAGTACCGGGCTGGGGGAGGAGTACTCGCAGGACTGGACGAGGTCCCGGAAGGCGGAGTGCTCTTGCCGGTCCCGGTGTCGAAGTTGGCGGATGATATGCCGCTTCCATCGGGCGGGCACTGCGTCGATGTGTGTTCCCTTAGAGCGGTTACGGAAATAGCCGAGCGGCTATCTCCCTTCAGCTGCATATGAATCTACATAGACCCCGCCTCTGTCCCGCCTCTCTGGAAGCTCCCGTTTTCAGTTAGTTAGAGACACAACACCGGTCTTGACGTTTTAAAATTTAGTTATATGTGCAGCTACCCCGAAAATAAGACCTAGCGCTATCTTCAGGGATTTCTGTAATATAAGACCTACCACCAAACTAGGTCTTATTTTCGGGGTAGGTCTTATATTACAGAAATCCCTGAAGATAACGCTAGGTCTTACTTTTGGGGAAACACGGTAGAGACCAGTGACATCACTGAGAGTGCATCCTATCCATACACTAGAGACCAGTGACATCACTGAGAATGTAGCCTATCCATTCACTAGAGACTGAAGTCAGCTTATCCATTTGCCAGAGGCTTGTGACATCACTAGCAATGCAGCTTATTGCCTTAAAATAAATCAGCCACAGCTTATAACGGTCTTTTTATTTTTATTGCTTTACTTGCAATTCTGTGAAAAGAAGAATAAAAACACACTGTAGGGCCAGGTCACATTTGGGTGTTTTAACTGACAATAGGGAGCAGACAAAGCACAGATAACCTATTTTGTTGTCTTTAGAATGGTCCGATGAAGTTCCTGTGCCTAGGCACGTCATGTATTTTTAAATGGCTTTATTTTGTAATAAACATAGTAATGCATAGAGAAATGTGTGTGTGATAAAACCAAACCTTTCCGTGAAATGCTCTTACCAGTACAGACTCAAAGAACATCGATTGTAAAACAATGAACTATTTACTTTATTCCATCATTTGTTCCATTCAAGCGGTTCTACAATGTACAGAAACAATTAATCAGCCATTCAATTCACAGAATTACAGCATTGTATCCTGATCCTAAAACAATTCAGCCAACTTTAACTTCTTCTTCAGCTTCACGTACATCACTATAAACAGGATAATGACCAAGACGGAGGTGAGCACTAGGGCAAACTCCACATACAAAGCGATCATGGCATCCTCTGTAGAGATGTCCAGTCCCAGGAAACTGACGCTGTCGGATATTGGTGTATCAGGGGTCGCATCTGGCCTAGGTGTTGAGACTGTGGGAGGAAAGCAACAGCTGGGTAATACAAAAATGATCTTAAAGCAGACCCTCACTCAACATTGACACGTGGCATCATTCTAAGGATTCCCCCCTTCGTGTTACATAATACATATTTGAAAGTTTTTTGGGGTGGGGGAGCAAGTACTTTTTCTGCATGTACTTGCTCCCACTTCCTAATTCCTTGCCTAGGGAAGGATAGCTTACTGTCGACCTGCTCCAACCTCCTGGGATGCATATCACACATCCCAGGGGGATTGCCCCTCTGTAGTCCATGTCTCTTGCATGCGCAGTATGGGCCGGCTGTGACTCATCAGGAAGTGAGAGCTGACTCCCAAACAAGAGATAGAAGATCCTCTGAAGAATCAAGTCAACAGCTTCAGTACTTGTAGCTGCTAACTTTAATTTTCGAATAGTCGGGTAAGGTTCTTCTTTATGAAATATGTAGTAGATAAAGCTGGGATTTATTTATCTTCACACCAAAAGTGAACCTCCACTTTATCCATACTGTCCATTTCTTTACATGCCTTCCCTATGTTCCATGCCACTACAGTCTGCCATGGACAGACTGTAGTGGCATGGACCGCAGCCTTGACAAACACCCATTGCTTCCTAGTGTGAGGGAACATGCAACGCTCTCCCTGTCTCCCAACAATGGTCTCCCACTGCAATTAATGGTTGGCCCTCCCAGCCCCTATGTCACTACATGACTCAAAGAGAACCAATGAACACGGTAGGGGGCCAGATCCACGCTACAGTTTCTGAGAATTCACAAGATGATTTCTCTTCAATGGAGCAGCATTTAGCAACATGGGTAGCGGGAGAGGAAAGTATTCACTATCTTCAGGGACCATTTAAGAAGCAATAGAGTCGCTTTATGTCACTTGATTGCTAAACTTTCCATTATAGTTAATGTAACACTATTGTGATATCAGTTGGCATTGTCTTCATGTTCTGTCTATGTAATGCTCAATGATTTAGAATGCTGTAGAACATTGTAAGTTTCTATCATATAGAGAGGCACAGAGCATGTAACTGGAACACTGGCAGTCCAGTAACCAATCAGGACATCAGGATTTGGATGCAGCAAGGGGAAAGCTAAAGGCAATATTCATCTTGTGTATACTTTCTTAGGCTCACCTGTAGGTTCCTGATCCAGCTCTAGACATGGATGATTGCTGTCCGGGTCTGGGAATCCATTACACCTGATGAGTTTTCTGTAATACTTGGTAGACTCTTTCGGGGTGCGCATCAGATTCGCGTCACTGTAATTTGTGTAATAGAAACCGAACCTTTCTACGTAACCTGCCGCCCACTCAAAATTATCCATCAGGCACCATGCGGTATAGCCACGGAGGTCCACCCCATCGTACTTAGCCGCTGTGGAGAAATAAGGATAAGGTCATGTTTTGATCAATGATACGTTTTTGCTATTGGAAGACTTTACTCATTTGCAGCTCTCTTCTGCAGAATTGGCAAAACTTACTGTACACCATATGTGTATTTCTAAAAAAATGGATTTGACAGGCTAACGGCAGAAATGTATTCAGTGATAAAATATACCCACTGAATCGATGGTAGAATCTTTAGGTAGGTCTAGTTGATGCAATGTTACACACATAGGCTTCTTAGTTGCCCTAAAATATACACTCCACTAGGCAGACCTTGGCAGAGTAGGGTGAGTTATAGACTACCGTATACTTACCATAACACCTGTGACTAGGCCAGGGTAGTTAAGTTTTAAGTTACAATTTGGGTTTACATTTTGTCTGAGCGCCTGGACACTTGTAGGTAAATTTGCCATACAAGATAAAAGAAGACCAGTGGTGCTTTCAAAAGGCTCGTGCCCAATTGCTGCTCAGTTGATGAACTCTCAAGTTAAACAGAAGCTCTGAATATAAAGCACGCAGTATGCTGCTTCCTCTAATACCTTGGTTCTCAACTGGTAGGTCGCGACCTTGTGTTCAGTGGGTCACAACCCTGTGTTCAGTGAGTCCCGACCCCGTGTTCAGTGGGCCACGACCCCGTGTTCAGTGGGTCGCAATGTGCCTTCCACTTTTCTAGGTGAGAAGCTCCTCAGCCTCCCCCTAGCGCAGCAATGTCAGTTCTCACGCTGAGCATCCTTTCAGAATTTGCTGCCCGGCGCCGAGTGTCAGCTTGGAGGTGTGGTGGGGGGCTGGAGCTATGGCCGCGAGGGAGCTCCATCCAATACGTGCATTGCTTACAGCTCCCTTGCATGTCCTGTAGAAGTACCTGGACCGGAGTGAAGTCGCATTCTGGCTCTACATGGCACGCAAGGGAGTTGTACAAGCAAAGCATGTATGGATGGAGCCTCGTCACAACACAGCAGCCCAGCACTGGACCCCAGGCTGAGGATCCACTACAGTTCTTGTAAGGTAGGGAGAATGGGTGGATCTTTAAAAAAAAAAAAAAAAAAAGAAACAAAAATTTAACATTTTTTTTGAGTGTGTGTGTGTGAGAATTTCTGTGAGTGTGTCTGTGAGTGTGTCTGTCAGTATTTTTTAGGGCCCGTTCACACTAGTACAGTGCGTACTAGTGTGAATGGCCCTAAAAAATAACCCGATTAACGCACTGTACCAGGCAATCGCACCTACTACACGTTCTAGTGTGGGAGGTGTGTTGCGTTGCCATTCATTTGAATGGCACCCCAAACACACCTCCCACCCGCAGTTCAATCGCCCGCACCGGAATGCATGGTACCGCAATGCCGTGCGTTCCATTGCAGTGCAACTTGGGTCGTCACTTAATGACCAAGAATAAATGTGAGGTAACACAGGTTGAGAACAACTGCTCTAATATATTCTGGTTTTCATGCTTGGTAGTCACTAAAGGAGAAAGCCTGTGTGATAGGATGTCACTGCTTACATGCGTTTGGTGCAATATGATCTCTATTTAACTGCTTTGAGTTCCAGGCGGAATAAATGGGGAACCGAACCAAAATAAATTATATTTCTTTCATGTCCATTAAGGGACACAGGAAGTCATAAACCTTTGGTTTACAATGTCACATACAGGACGATTGAACACTAGCAAACAAAGCCATCCCAGGGTATAACCCCTCCTACTACCAGCATGCCTCAGTTTTTTATTAGTGTCCTAGGAGGATGGGTGTATTTTCTTCTGCACTGCTAAAGACTAACCTGTGTTTATACTAGCATTTTTTTGTTTCCCCATCCAGTCATCCTCAGCCTGGCTTGTGGACCATACCACATCTGGACCCTGCTAGCCTGGGTGTCCCCTGTTAAGTTGTTTGCTCTCCCTAAATGGTTGTTGGCATTGTCACCATTTTGCTGAGAAGGGGTCTGTTCCCTCTGTGGATCCAGCCATATTTTGCCTTCAGCCCAGGTTCTAAGGGACAGTGGCATCTCTGAGGCTGTGATTCATACGATGTTCAAGGCTAGGAAGTCTACTCCTTGTAAGGTTTATCATCGGACGTGGAAGGCTTATTTGATTTGGTGTGAGTCTAGGGGCTTATGTGGAATGAATCCTCTCCTTCCTGCAGTTGAGTGTGGACCAAGGCTAGGAAGTCTACTACTTGTAAGGTTTATCATCGGACGTGGAAGGCTTATTTGACTTTGTGTGAGTCTAGGGGCTTTACCTATGTGGAATGAATCCTCTTCTTCCTGCAGTTGAGTGTGGACCATCGTTTTGCTCACAGAAACATCAAGGTCAGGCCTCTGTTGTCTCAATTTTATTTTAGAGGCTGTTGGCCTCTCACTATTTGATTAAAACCTTTAAGCAGTCAGTCTCCGATGTGGTACCCCCTTCCATTTCCCTGTGACCCCATGGAACCTGAATCTGGTTCCCTGTGCTTCAGAACCCATTACAGATATTCCTCTCTCAACTCGTACCCACGAGGTTGCTTTCCTTGCAGCTATCACCTTCTTGCCTAAGGTAATCTCTGCCTTTAACCTAAACCAGGACATTATTCTCCTGTGTCTTTGTCTGGCTAGGCCCTGTGCTGGCCTACTTTCTTTTTAATTAAATTTTTGTCTGTGTCCGATCCTCCTGTAGGTGGCGGCAAAACCCAATGGTTTATTACTTCCTGTATCCTTCAATGGACTCCAAGAAAATTTGTGGCAAGTATAAAAATCCAATTTTCATTGCCATTGTTCCAATAATTACAGCATTTTAAGGGATCACAGATCTAATAAAAAGGGTGCCATATGGCAAAAATATAACCTGATTTTTTTTGGCAAACATTCTTAGTTGAACCTTTGCTGTGCCCTATGACTGTAGTCTTTGTCTGGGATCTGTAGGGATCTGTCATGCTGCTTGTCTGCCCCCTCTAGGTGTAAGTCTCACTGGCATCTATATGAATCTCTTACCTTCAAACAGATTTGCAGAACATATATACAGTTATGGTCTTTAATTTACGTAGCCCCATCACACACCTCTATAAAATCTCATGCTAAAACTGCATACCTAACCATTGACAGAGCTCCCACTTAAAGAGGAACTAAATTCACCTCGCTCCCTCACTAGAGCCAACGTCTTCTCCCAGGTGCCAGGTCCTCAGCCTTCTTGATTAGCCGGTGGGGCATGAAATAACTCCCACGCTTTTGCATGGGAATTAATTTACCCCGGGATGCCCAGCTCAATGTATATTCTGAAGAAGATTGCAAGCAGGCAGGCAGGCAGGCAAAGTTGTTCTATTGCAGGAGAGACATAGTGTGTCCCTTCTGCATAAAGTGCCTGCCTGCGCGCAATTTAATTTTTTAGGTGTAGTTCAACTGTAACAATGCTCCTTTTAGTGGAGTTCTCCTTTAAACATACTTTACTCATGTACCTTTCAGAGCCGCGTTGACATAGTGCTTGAAGTAGTGATCCCGCCATTTGTCATTTAGGTTCGTCCCACGTTCGGATATTCCGTTCTCGGTCACATAAATAGGGGGGTTGTTGTATTGTTCCTTTATCCAATTCAGAATCCTCCGAAAACCAAAAGGGGTCACTTTGAGCCAAATAGAGCCGGAGCCAATCCAGCTGCGGTCAGCCATAGTCGCCACTCCCCTAGATCAAAACATCTGGATGTTATTCACCTTTTCTACAACAGAACACAATAGTAGGCTACAAATTTCACCCATGGGTCCTTGTTTAAAAACTGAACTCCAGAGAAACCTTGTAAAGGATTTGTATTTCTGGCCATCCAGGTCTGTGATTTGCACAGGTCTGCCACTCAACTTATCTCTGTCTGGCAATGCAGGAGACCTTATTTTTTCCTGCTGCATTTATGTAACAGACTGATGATCTCATTGCTCTTTCACTTTTCTCTCTCCTCCTATTACCATGCTCCCTGTTAGTTTTGTGTTTGTACTGTGTAAAGCCCTTCATGTGCACCTTGCTTTAGAAGCTAGTTATAATTGATGAGTGAAGTTGCCATTTGCCTCCGTAGTTCCCAGTCCTGACACTAGAGGGAGCCGGTCCCCCACTCAGTAACATGTTAGTATATTTTCTAACTTTTCTGCACAGGTGTTTTTTTCTTTGAGGTACAACCCCAATTCCAGAAAAGTTGGGACGCTGTGTAAAATCTACATAAAAACAGATTGCAATGATCTGCAAATCTCATGACCTGTATTTTATTCACAATAGAAAACATATCAAATGTTTAAACTGAGAAATTCTACCATTTTAAGAAAAAGAAATTGATGGCAGCAACAGGTCTCAAAAAAGTTGGGACAGTGCCATGTTTACCATGGTGTAGCATCCCCTCTTCTTTTACCAACACTCTGTAAACGTCTGGGAACTTTTTTTTGGGAGAGGAATTTTGTCCCATTCTTGCCTGATGTAGGATTCTATCTGCTCCACAGTCCTGGGTCTTCTTTGTCGTATTTTGTGTTTCAAGATGCGCCAAATATTTTCAATTGGTGAAATGTCTGGACTGCAGGCAGGCCAGTTGAGCACCAGGACTCTTCTACTATGAAGCCATGCTGTTGTCATAGATGCAATATACGGTTCAGCATTGTCATGATGAAATATAAAAGGCCTTCCCTGGAAAAAGACATTTCCTGGATGGAAACATATGCTGCTCTAAAACCTGGATATATCTTTCAGCATTGATTAAGCCTTTCCAGATGTTCCAGATGTTCCATTCCATACACACTAATGCACTCCCATACCATCAGAGGGGCAGGCTTTTAAAGTAAGCACTGATAAGCCGGAAGGCCTCTCTCCTCTTTAGTCCGGAGGAGACGGCACCCATGGTTGCCAAAAAGAATGTCAAACTTCGATTTGTCTGGCCACACAACAGTCTTCCACTTTGCGACAGACCATTTTATATGAGCTTTGGCCCAGAGAAGACGGTGCCATTTCTGGATCATGTTCACATATGGGTTCTTCTTTGCATGATAGAGCTTTAGCTGGCATTTTTGGATGGCACAATGAACTTTGTCCACAGACAGTGATTTTTGTATGTAGTGCAGAGCCCATGCGGTGATGTCCATCACAGTGTCATGCCTGTTTTTAATGCAGTGCTGTCTGAGGGTCCGTTGAGCATGGGCATCCAATATTGCACTTTGGCCTTGTCCCTTGCGCACAGGGATTTCTCCAGATTCTCTGAATCTTTTGATATTCTGTGCTGTAGATGATATAATTAGTCTTTGCAATTTTACATTGAGGAACATTATTCTGAATTTGTTAGACAATTTTTGATTCGGCTTTTCACAGGTTGGTGAACCTCTGCCCATCCTTACTTCTGAGACACTCTGACTCTCTAAGATGCCCTTCTTAAACCCAATTATGTTACTGACCTGTTGCCAATTTACATAATTAGTTGCAAAATGTTCCTCCTTGTTGGTACCGCTTACTTTGTCAGCTTTTTGTTGCCCTGTCCCAACTTTTTTGACATGTTGCTGCCATCATTTTCAAAAATTACCTTATTTTTTCATAAAATTGTATATTTTCTCAGTTTAAACATTTGATATGTTTTCTATTTTCTATTGTGAATAAAATCTGGGTTTATGAGATTTGCAAATCATTGCATTCTGGTTTTTATGTCGATTTTACAAAGCGTCCCAAGTTTTATGGAATTGGGGTTGTCTAATGCTCTGTGTTAACATGGGGGAAGGTGGAGGGGGCAGAGGACGGGCCACTATGTAATAGGTGGACCTTATATTTTTGTGGAAGGTCTAATTTAAATCTGACAGTTGCTGCTCTGTCTACTGCCTGATCACAAACACACTGCCTCTCATCTCCAGAGAGCGCATAACAGCAAGAAATAACAGTAAATAAGCACAGGGCTCTGTGATTATTTGGTAGTGTTACCCACATTGCAGAAGAGGGGAGACAACGTGTGAAGTCAGGCAGTTGACTCTGACCCACAAGCTGAAGAGTCAGACACAGGGTAAGTAAGTGAAGATAAATGATGACTACACATAAGCTTTTCGTAAGTACACCAACACAGTCTATAGATTCTTGTATAAGAACACCTTGCTATGACCAGTTATCTTAAAAGGGTGTTACTATGGCAATGAGAGTCTTGTCATATTTTTTTAGTGCTGGTCATAAAATGAAAAGAGATAATCTCTCTGTTGTCACAACCTGGGCACATATCCATTTAGTCATATTTTATGTTTAATATTCCACTCTGTAAATGGGTAACCTGCAAACACACCAGCATCACCCACAGCCCAGGTTAAGGGGAAAAAAAACATGTGTAGATAATGATATTGACAATGATTTGAGGGCCATGGTGCTGCGTTTGGAAAAAAAAAAACTGGAGTTTGGAATTAGATATAAGTGAGCCGCCATGTTGATGTCTCTTACCTGTCTGCATCATATGACTGTGTGCTTTGGGGGAAATTGAGGGGAGAAGCCAAGACGGTGGTGTAGTGATTGAAGCCAAAGTAGTCATATGTTCCTTTTATTCTTTTTTTCTCTTCCTCTGTGAATTCAGGAAGCCTGGTAGCAATTTAAAAAAACACATTTTACAACATGGAAGCCCAACCATAGCCCAAACCTTTTTTTAAGATATGGATAGACTGGGAAAGGTTAGAATTAATGTCAGGTTGTTATTGCTATGTCCCCACTTCTTGTATTTATGTCCCTCACTTCTTGTATTTATGCCCCTCACTTCTTGTATTTATGTCCCTCACTTCTTGTATTTATGTTCCTCACTTCTTGCATTTATGTCCCTCACTTCTTGTATTTATGTCCCTCACTTCTTGTATTTATGTCCCTCACTTCTTGTATTTATGTCCCTCACTTCTTGTATTTATGTCCCCACTTCTTGTATTTATGTCCCTCACTTCTTGTATTTATGCCCCTCACTTCTTGTATTTATGTCCCTCACTTGAAGTCTTCTTGTATTTATGTCCCCACTTCTTGTATTTATTTTTACTCTTTACCCCAACCTGTCCGTCTATCTCCCACCTTGACTGCCTATAGGCGTTCCCTAAAGACTCATCTCTTCAGGGAAGCTTATCCCACCTCAACCTAACCACTGAACCATCATGTTCTCAAACAATTCATCCCCACACAGCTACCTCCTCATGTATCACTTGCCCTTCCCTTCGATACTGTAAGCCCTCAGGGGCACGGGCCTCCTTACCATCTTGTCTTGAATTGTATTGTGATTGTAATGTCTTCCTTATATTGCAAAGCGCTGCACAAACTGTTGGCGCAATATAAATCCTGTATAATAATAATGTTACCAGGATATGAAATGAGAGGAACAGGGTTGTCCACAAGGTCAGGAAGACACAGGCAGAAATTAAAAACCCAATAGAGGTTTTACTGTAAGAACTGTGGGCATTTCCCTCTTCTTCCTGTTAGCAGCCCAGGAAATAAAAGGTAGACTCCATACTGAGGACACAGACAGCAAGAACAACCCAACAAAAGTTGTAGCCCTTCCTTCGCTTTGTCCAATACAAAGGAAAAATGTATTTGGGCAGAAAAACATTGGTCTTCTTGAACTTAGGGGGTAAATCCTAAAAATTAATTCAAACTTCTTGTATTTATGTCCCTCACTTCTTGTATTTATGTCCCCACTTCTTGTATTTATGTCCCTCACTTCTTGTATTTATGCCCCTCACTTCTTGTATTTATGTCCCTCACTTGAAGTCTTCTTGTATTTATGTCCCCACTTCTTGTATTTATTTTTACTCTTTACCCCAACCTGTCCGTCTATCTCCCACCTTGACTGCCTATAGGCGTTCCCTAAAGACTCATCTCTTCAGGGAAGCTTATCCCACCTCAACCTAACCACTGAACCATCATGTTCTCAAACAATTCATCCCCACACAGCTACCTCCTCATGTATCACTTGCCCTTCCCTTCGATACTGTAAGCCCTCAGGGGCACGGGCCTCCTTACCATCTTGTCTTGAATTGTATTGTGATTGTAATGTCTTCCTTATATTGCAAAGCGCTGCACAAACTGTTGGCGCAATATAAATCCTGTATAATAATAATGTTACCAGGATATGAAATGAGAGGAACAGGGTTGTCCACAAGGTCAGGAAGACACAGGCAGAAATTAAAAACCCAATAGAGGTTTTACTGTAAGAACTGTGGGCATTTCCCTCTTCTTCCTGTTAGCAGCCCAGGAAATAAAAGGTAGACTCCATACTGAGGACACAGACAGCAAGAACAACCCAACAAAAGTTGTAGCCCTTCCTTCGCTTTGTCCAATACAAAGGAAAAATGTATTTGGGCAGAAAAACATTGGTCTTCTTGAACTTAGGGGGTAAATCCTAAAAATTAATTCACGTGCCTTAACTATCAACAAAAATGTATCTTATTTGTGTTTCACTCGGCTGTAGATCCTCAAATCATCTCTGAATTGGTGCTGACACTGTCCTTCCTTCTGCAGGGGGGCTACTTTTGTTCACCATGGTCCCTGTGTGTGTTGTGAAGTAGTCACCACTCCAAGCTTGCTGGTGGGATGGACTACAATCTCATGTTTAATTTACTGATTTATATTGATCTTGTAGTCAATCATGGGAGCGAGCTTGGAGCGGTGGCTACTTTACAACACACATAGGGACCATGGGGAACAAAAGTAGCCCCCTCCAGAAGGAAGGACAGTGTCAGCACCAATTCAGAGATGATTTGAGGATCTACATACTTGAATGCATTTTTAAGATTTAACTCCTCAGTTCAGTGTCACTTTAAAGTGACCCGACAGTAAAATAAATTTGCACTGAAAGGTCTACCAATCAAGGTAGACCTTTCTTTCAGAGAAACCAACACTTCCAGTCAATGTACCGTCTCTCCTGCTGTTCTCACTGTTCCCTTCTGCTGACCTCCACATCACCAATGTAGTCCAGTATTGATGTGGAGGTCATTGGGAGGAAACACTGAGTGCAGGAGGGGACCAAGGAGATTAGCACTCCTGGAAATGTTGGTTTCTCAGAAGACTTCAGCCAGGGAATTTTCTTGAACACAGTTGAGTTTGGTGGAGCGTGGAGCAAGAGAGGTAAATATTTGCTCTCTTCTTTTACCGGTAGACCTTTGGGGTCATATAATTCTTTTTTTTTTTATATATTTCTTTTTTTTTTACTGACGAGGCTGCTTTGATGACCAGGATATTTTTATTTTTTTTAACAATCAGTCTGTAAACTGCTAAATGACAGCCAAGGTCCTTGACATCAGCTAATATGTAGTTTATTACTGTACATCCTTCTCCAAGAAGCCTGTAAGATCAATGCTAATATTTGCAGAATAAACATGATTTGTGAAGCAAGAATGTTAATTGTATTGGAGCAAATAGTGAAAACTGATGTTATGTCCTGCCCATAAGAGAGAGCAGAGCTCTTCCCTCGGATTGCTGGACCCCTGTCTGCATAGATTGTGTATGTCCTCCCATGTTTTACACTGTGCTCCTGTTCCCAGTTTAATTGGCTTTTGATCAAGAATACTTATTAAGAGACAAAAGAGAGGTTGATATCCTATGGCAGTCTTAGTTATTGTCACGGTCTGGGAGTCGGGGCACTGGTGCACAAAAGCTCCGGGTTTTGTGGAGCAGGTTTACTCAGAAACAAGGGGTCTGTACGTTTTCGGGGGACACACTAGAGGTGCAGCATCTAAGAGGGGCCAGGTCTTCCTCAGCACCTCTAATGGTGAGGATGATTGGCTGCTGGACACCTTCCAGGTTGTGGAAAAAAAGGGAATGTGGGGACTCCCCACACACATCTCCCACTCCAAAGGTCATCATAGCAAGGTGAAGCTTTCAGATGGGAGAAAGGCATGGGCATACCTGATCCATGGGAACTAGACAGAGAGGAACTTTTATGAGTATCTAAAAGTATATTGGCGAGTTTCTCATTCATGAAAAAATAGCCAATCTTTTGCTTGACTTCCAACAGATCTTGGCAGTGTAGAGAGAAATATTACCCTTAGGCAGCCATCCCAGGAGTGGTGGCCAAAGGTCGGCTCTTTACTTGAGTAGGGAGTAGGTGTGCAAGGAGGCACACATATGAAGCTCAGATTCAATTTTGTTCAGAATATAATGTTATATATAATTTCATGGGTTCAAAGGGTCCTCCTTAATCAGAGCTAAGTACCATTGAATGAAGCATGTAATGGACTGATAAAACTGAAGGGATCCTGAGAGGTAATTAGTATGATCACTCCAGATGCCACTCCAATTTGATCAATCCTGTACATGCTTTGTTCAACTGTACTAAGCCTTGATGAAGGGGGACCCTTGTAATCCTCAAAGCAGGTTGGCTTTTCATGATACAAGATTCAGATAATGGAACTTTCTGTCCCGCACACCTAGGTGCTTATTGTTTTATTATTGTCTTTGCTCAACCGGGAAAATTCACCCTCTCTTTTTTGTCCTGGTAACCATTGGCGATGGGACAGGAAGAGTTAGTAAATCCAAATTTTACAGCTGTCACCAGAACAGGGGCAATCTTTCAGTGGGGACACCTGTTTATGGGACAACTATCTAATGGGGAATTTCCTCTTACTTCCTATTTGTGCAGACTGCTGCGGTGATATACAAGTACATAGCTGGAGCTGGAGTTGGGGTGGGTGGGTTAGTGCAGTTTAAATCAAGAGGGCTGGGGAAAGTAGGGGTTAGCGTAATTCAGCTAAACCTGGGGTGTAGTTTCTGTACCACAATGGGACACAGACCTGTTGTACTATACATCTACACAATATACTTTTACATGACAGCTTGTTATTGCAAAAAGCAACGGATGCGACAACGCTCAAGGTTTTGTGAATATTCTCACCGAGATTTCGTCAGGCCTTGCGCTAAGCTCCTCTCTCGCACCCGGGATTTCATTATCTCGTTGTAGTCGCCATTGTTGAATATTGGGTTTGCAAACCATCCTCCATAGAACTAGATGGAAAAAATGGAGGAAATAAATGTTTTCAGTGACATCAGGATCAGCATATGTTCAGTATTCTGTGGTTTTGTGTCAGCTGACCAGTGAATAATGGATAACAACACGGTGTCGTACCCACTCATGTACGTTCCCCTATAAATGTAACAACACCAAATGTAGATCTATTTCTGGAAACACAGTCACAAACCTTCTGTTTTATATAGATGAGATATGATACCAATAAGGTGAAAAGGTACAAATTTTACTGCAGTTCATGTGGGAAGAGGCCATGACTAACATCCGGAAGGATTAAGCTGCTGAACTATTGGTACAGTAATGAGGCCTCATAATCCTATTTCTGTAACAATTTAACTGGATCGGTTGATAATTGATGAGTGTTCATCAAGTTCATACTTAAAGCTGAGGTTTGTTCACCTTATATTTTGCCTTTCTGTGTTTTTCCTTTCCCCCATCATCAACATGATAATTAAATTTTTGAATAAAACCCTTACGTCTTCATTACATTCCTTTATTTTAAATCCAGTGACATCATCACTGGATCCCTGTGCTTCTTTGTGCCATGTGGTACATGCTTCCTTCAATAGTATTAAGCCCTAATGAGGGGGACCCTTTAAATCCCTGAATCTGGCTTTTTATGATACAAGATTCAGATTATGGCACGTTCTGTCTTGCACACCTAGGTTTATATTGCTTTATTATTGTCTTTGTCCCAATTCACCATTTCTATTTGCCCTGGTAGCCATTGTCACTGGGACAGGAAGTGATGGGAAATCCAAAATTGTGCAGCACATACAAAATGCTTTTTATTGTCTATCCATTGGTCATTAAAGTAGAATTGAAGCCAAAACTTTAGCAGGGAAGGTCATAACACATTTTGATTTCCCTTCACTTACTGTCTGAGAGCCACAACAGGAAGTGAGGATAAATCCCTGGTGGTAATCAGGGTCACCGGAAATAGTGTCCCCATTGGGAGATTTTCCATCTAGTCCTGTTTTGGTGACAAACAGCGATAACGGTCAAAAAGAAAGGGTAGATCTCCCTAACGGGGACACAGACAGCAATAAAAACTTGACCGGTGTTCTAATTCCTCTCCACCCTATACCAAAAAAAAAATCTACCAGTCATTTTGGTGTTACCCCCTCTGAAAAGCTGGGCACTCGGTCATAGAACGAGAGCCCAACAGTTGCACGAGAGAGGAGGAGACCCGGCGGCATACATTATCCCGCCGGGTGAATGTCCCCTCCTCTCTTTCCTGTTGTCCATCACCAAGATGGCCGCTGGCAGGTAAGCGAGCATGACGTCATTACGCATGTGCGTGATGAAGTTGTATATGCGCAATGACATCCCAGCAGGGTGTCACTCGGCAGCCGCTTCGGGTGACACCACGCCAGGGGACGCCCCTGCTTTAAGGGCTTCATTTATAGAAGTTTCCTATACTTGCCAGCACCCTCTAAGGGCGCTCGTGGCGTGCGAATGGCATCCTCCTGGCTTTATGCTGGGCAGAACTTTTATAAATGAATCCCCAAGTCCTCTTAAGTTTCTTATAAGGGCATAGCAGCCATGGATTGATTATTGCTTTGTGGTTTGTACCACCATCTGGAATGATGAATCCTCATTATATTGTATATTTTTTTAGCTCGCGCAACCAGACAGTGTGTCACTATACAAGCCAGACCGGTGCCATGCTGACCTGTATAGCCAAGATGCTTGTATAGCCTTGTATAGCCTGGTCTCCCTATTTACCTGTGTCAGCCTTGAAACTATGTTTTTATAAGAACTATGAACTGACAGATGAAGAGAACATATAATTAACTTAATAGTAGTACTTATCACACGCTGAAGTGCAAGGTCCATTGATAACAAATATTGTAGCTCTTATTACACCATGACGGCAGCAGATGACATGGGATGATTGGCTCTGTAGCTCCACAATTGTATGGGGGATCATGCACATAGATACTATAATATATCTGTCAACAGATAACTAGTCAGCAATTTCAGCAGTAGTCATTTTCCAGTCTAACTATACTATATCCTTCATAGTGAAAGCTAAATTGAAGTGTATATTCTTCACAAGAGGATCGCTATACAATTCTCCCTTCATCTACTGCCTATGGCATACCAATCAAATAGCAATTACTGTAGACTGCAAGTTACCATTCATAGTAGTCTAGTGCATTACAGTTAATATATATTAACTGTATGAGTTGCTGGAATTCTGCAAATACAGTACAATAGCTTTACCTTAGACAGATATCCAAGGGTAGGTGTGAAATCCTAGGGGGAGGGATTCATGTTACTATGCATGATGCCTTAAAGTGTATGTGAACCCTAACAATGAACTTCTTTTGATATGCTCCACTTTGGTCTCCTATATAAATCATTGCATGTATTTTGTTATAACTTTGTTATAATCTGAGAGCAAAAAAACCTGCTAATCTTGTCATATATTCAGAGCTGTCCTCTGTCCCCTGCACACTTCCTGTGGTATCTCAGAGAGTCACCTAGTTCTTACCTTGCAATTACAAATCAATTCCTGCCAATGTGTTACAGGTGAAGACAGTGGGATGGATTGAGTAGGTTAGCAAAAGAAAAATGGGCAAGGCTGACACCACTGAGCCCACAAAGCTGCTGTGTGTTGTCAGCCCACAATAGGAAATTAAGACCGTTGGGCTTAATTTGCCTTAAAGCTGAACTCCTGGAATTAAAAAAAAAAAGCTACCTTTGAGGTTTTTGGCTAGTGGTAGAGGAATAAGCTGTAATAACCTATTCTTCACTCTCCTTCTCCATGACAATCCAGATTCTGGGTGCTCCATCACCTTCTTCACATACAATGCAGGGCTCTTAGCCCTACATTGTACTTGATGACATCAGTGTGGGACTACTGGCTGGGTGTACCTTAGAAAATAGGCTTTGGGGGCTGGACGCACACACGGAGTAAGCTTGCTGAAGCAACGTATATGGTAAATATTACACTTTATACCTTTACCCCTAGGCAAAAATTAGCATTTTATACTTACACTGTGTGTGTGTGTGTGTGTGTGTGTATGTGTGTGTATGTGTGTGTATGTGTGTGTGTGTGTGTGTGTGTATGTGTGTGTGTGTGTGTGTGTAGCTTTAACATACACTTTTATAGATAGACCCTCTAAAGTAGGCTTTAACCCATGAAGATTTACCCTATGCCCAAACCATATTTAGTATACATCAGTTAACTTTGCTAAAGCACTTTGACTGACTTGTTTGGTAGCGGTCAGAGAGCTCAGAACAAACAGACACAAAGTTACAAGGTTAATTGACGTTCTGACAGCATGAGAACTGGGAAAAAACATATTTCAGTCACAAATGGGTCAATCACTAAAGGGGCTGATTTATAAACTGTTTGCACAACAAAGAGCTGTGCGAATGAGATGCACAGTGCTATATGACCACTAGATGGAGCCGAGGAGCATAGAAAATTCCTATGCCATACAGCTGCCATACAGTGCTGATAATCTTGTTCGCATGGTGAACAGCTGTGTGAATGGTGTATAAATCAGCCCCTAAGAGTAGCAATAGATAACTGCACATATGGAACAAATAGCTCCTTACGGAGTAAGTGACACAAGTGGCATGTAGGAGCATAAAGTAGCAGAATCACACAAATGAGGATCATTGTGCAATCATTAGCGATTAAGCCCTTTTACATGCTATTGGTGTAATTTACTCCAAAGGGAGCCATTTATTCTATATGTGTATTTGCTCTTACTGATTAATCACTAGCAATTTTAAAAGGGTTATCACATGCAAAGATTATTTAGAAGTGACACAGCCTTCTTCTATAAAAATCGATCCTTCATCCTTTCACCACTCAAAGCTACTGCAATTATGATTTCAGTGTATATCTCATACCGCCATGTATCTGCGCGCTGCCTCCACGTCCTCCTGCTTGTATGGGTTCCTTGGTTCGGCCCAATCGGAGTTGATGGTTATAGAAATTACGCCTCCTTGTCTCGCCCTGTACGTAGAGTTGTAGAGGTGCCAGGCCTCGGCGTGAGCCTTGATGAGGTTATGTCCAACAGTGTATGGTGCTTGTCCAGGCCTTGTATTGACTCCTTAAAGGCATTAAAAATATTTATACAATGTGTAGCAAAATCCAAAACCAGAAATGTAATATGTTCATGTTTCTATTCCTTATTATTTTTTTGGGATTTTTCCTTTATTTTCACTTGGTGCACACTTCCTAGCCTAGAGTGACAACGCTCCCTTACTGTACTGAATCTATGGAGGAACAGCAGTGTCACCCTAAGCTACTCTTCATCCTTGGACTACAAACACATCCCCCTCTCCTCATCTCCAGTAAATAGGGGGCAGTGGAGTTTGTAGTTTACAGAAGACCGCTTGGAAGGAAGGAGCGGCGGCACCAGGCCGGGTGCCACCCGGTGAGGCTGATGGGTGTCACTCACTGTGCACGTCGTTACGTATACATGTGACGTCATTATGCATGCATGTAATGACATCATGTGCGCTTCACTGCCAGTGGAAATCTTGGTGATGGACGCCGTCACAGAGAGGAGGGGACAGTCATCTTTCGGGATACGGTATGCCGCCGAGTTCCCTCCTCTCTCGTTCAGTTGTCAGGCTTTTGGCACATGACCAGTGTCTGGTTTTTCAGAAGAGGTGATACCAAAATCACTGTCAGTCAGTGACACCCGTCTGATGGTGTCACCTGTTCACCATCACTTCCTGCACCCCCATTGTGAGGCCACTGGAAGGACATTGAACATTGAAACATTGAAATTTCCGTTCAGTTTACAGGAAGTTATAAGGACACTGGATTTGGACAGGATCAACAGGTATTTTTCTGCACTTACAGAAAATACACTTAGCCTGTAAAAAAGGAAATCTAACGCAGCCACCAGATTTAAGGAATGGCAAGCTCCAACATATTTTTTTTTTTCTCTTGGGTTTAGATATACTTTAAAGTAGGAGGAAGGGCTACACAATCACCCACCTTTGAAATGCAGCCTCCCCATTGTTCTGATACTCCCTGAATACATTTTCTTATAAATCATAATCAATACCTTTTTTTTTTTCTATGTGATCACATGACCGCACATCTCCATTTGTATACCCTTTCACTGTGGATGCCCCCCGGCCGACAGTGCCTTAGATCTATGAATGCCATAAGGTGATACCACCGAATCCTAGCAGCCTTGGGAACGCCATGAGCCCGCCTCAGCTCCATAAAACACTCTAAATAAACATATGGTTGCACCTCTGATACCATCACTCATTGTAGAATTTTACTTAATCAGTATGAGTCCATATTGCAATCCCCATCTAAGCACCAACCCTTTAAAGCGTTTCACCCGTAAGGGCTTTATTTCTACAATTAAGCCTTTACAGGTAAAATGCGTTAGCGGGATGTTACCAACACTGAGCGTAAAACTTTATTTCATCAATACAAGTCCATGTTAGAATCTCTACTTAAGCACCTCCCCTCTAATGAACTTCACCTGTAGAGGCTTAATCGTAGAGATTACCCAAGGCAGGTGCTTAGGCGGAAATTGTAACATGGGCTCATATTGAATAAATACATTTTTACGCTTAGTGGCGGTACCGTCCCACTTACGCATTTAATCCATAAGGGCTTAATATCTATGATGAAACATGTTAGAGGGGCAGTGCTTTGGCTGGGATTGCAACAGGGATTTGTATGGATGAAATAAAGTTTTAAGCTGCATATGGTACCGGAAGTGCAACTGTTTGAAGATTTTGATAAATCTGTTGCTTGGCAAACGTTATTAGTGGATGCAATGACTGCAACTTTATTGATAAATGTCTCCTAATCACGTTATCGCATGTGTATTTTATGGGCACCTGAACTCAAAAAGTGAAGGTTTGCTATGTTTTAGGGAAATGTTACTTGAACCTAAGCAGTGCCCAGAAAGATTAATATTTTCCCTTGAATTCTTCTTTCTGGTATGTGTGTGTGTCTTTCTACAACCTCATAACTGTATTTCTGCAGTGTGAGATCTAAGGCACTGCTGCCCTTGATTACTAGTCTCATGAGATTTGGTGGTGTCACAACTGTTTCTGCTTCATTCCTGCGGAGAGTCTGTGCTTCCCCCTCTCTTCTTCTGCTGCTGCTTGAATTTACCACACCAATTATCATACTGCAACCATTAGGGGCTGGTCTGACATGATGAAACAAGGCTCTCCCTCTACCAAGATGGCTGCCACCACACAGAGACATAGTGCAGTAAAAGTCATGGTAGGTCAGTAATGGGGTAAAGATCAGTGACGTGCGTTACCTTCGGTGCTGGGTGAGGCATTCCCCCAACCCCATCCCAGCCCCCCCCCCCCCCCGCAAACCAAAACCCCCCCCCCCGG